ATGTCCCTTTTTGAGGGACAAAATTCATAGTTCTTCACTTTAATAGGGACAAAAGTCAGGAAATGCTATAAATCAATTATTTAGATAATGAAGAACAATTGTAAGTAGTTTTTTTATAATTATTAATTTAAAAATTTTAATTTTTCCTAGTGAGGGACATTTGATTTATGTCCCTGCCTCCCCTTTTAGGGATCCATCTTTAGTCATAGGTAGTAAAGGTGGGAGCTGAACTTTGCAAGCCACAAGAGTTCAATTTGTTTAAAGGAGATTGTAGACAAGAGGGAAGGGAAATGAAGGAGTTTTGAAAGAGCTTTTTGAGTTGATTAAAGAAAGTAGTAAGACTTTATTGGCACAGAAGTATTAAAACTTCTTGTGAACAATTTTTTTGTATATGGTCAGAGGATTAGCAGGCTAAAAGTCATGAAAATATTATATAAATATAAAATTTATAAAAATTATATTTCAATATTTTCTTTATATCTTGAATTTTTTTCAAAAAATTTTTATAAGTAATTTTTAGAATATTATAATTGTCAAAAAATTTATTCCTTTATCGAGTATTATATGGTTTATAGCAAAGACCAATTAAAAGTATTTAAAAACAAAAATAGAATAAAGAGAAAACATTTTAACAACAATTAAACTTTAAAAATTACTTATAAAATTTTTTGGAAAAATATAATATATATAAGAAATAAGATAACTATTGAAATATAATATAATTTTTAGTTGTATAATTAAAAAATTAATAATTAAAAGATTATAAAATCATTTCATGATTTATTTTTTATAATTAAATAAAATTAAATTTATAGTTCGAAACAAAACTTTTTGTCCTTTTATTTTTTATTATAATTTATGATCTAATTTAAAAAATATTTGAGTTTTAATAATAATTAATTAATAATTTTCTTTCAAAATTTGATTTAAAGTTAAAAAAACAATCAAATAAAATTTTTATAAATTTTTATATATAAATTTATATATATATAAATATATGGAAAATAAGTTTTTTACTATAGTAAATTTCTTTAAAAATAATTAATTAAAAATCAATAAATATTTTTTGATATACTGTATAAAAAATTTTTTTAAAGATTTTTAATAATATGATATTATATTTAATATAATTTATTAAATTTTTATTTTGTAAATTGAATTTTAAAATTTTTTTAAAAGATCAAAAATAGGAATTTATTATTTAATTGATATTTTTTGTTTATGAAACTTGAATAAATCATACAATTAAAAAATTTTTTTAATAAAAAATTGTACAAATTTTATTTTATATATTTATTTATCTTTATTTTAGATTTAATGATTAAAATAATTATAATAATATTTTATTATAAAAATTTTGTAATCTATTTAAAAATAATATTTTTTAAAAAAATGTTCTTTTTTTGAAATTATAATCTAACATAATTTTAATAATTAATTTCAAAAATATTTTTAAGTAGTTTTATTCTTTATATTTTTAAATATATACCGCATACTGTATATAAATTTTTATTAAATTTTATTAGTTATTAAATTATAAGTAAAAATAAAACGAAAAAAGAAGGCAAAAAGTTTTGTCCCAAACTGTATATACTGTATATTGTAGGGGTTTACAGCAAGTTAGTCGTTAATATGGGAATAAATTCGTATAATAAGGTTGCGCAAATGCACACACCAGATAGAAAGAGATATTTGAATCTGGTCAAGTAAGTGCTTCTCTTTTTTGGCAGTTTTTTGACTAACTTCAATCTACCTTATTTTTGCATCCTTTTTATATTCCACCAAACTGCTATCCATTTGCAATATATCTAAGCTAATATCATTTTGATTCGAAGTCTCAAGTAGCTTATTTCTGATTGCATCTATGTATATGCGCGCTCACATGACTTTTGGGCATACCGCTAACAATATATTAATTTGAAATATAAATTTTAATTTACAGTATAATTATTCAAAAAAATGCATTTGATTATAAAAAGTTTATGTTTAAAAATAAGTTATTGTAAATTTTATATTTTAAAACAATAATAATACTGTAGTACCGATAATGTATTTATTTATTAAAAGCAATTGAATGTTCGGCTCGAATATTTAAATCAAATATACAGTATTAATTATTAATAAAGAACATTCTACAATAATCCCAATTTGTATTTATTTATTTTTTTAAGATCTATTTGTAAAAACCCTCAAATTGGCACATACTGTATATGTACATATTGTTTTTGATATTTAGGATAAAGTTTACTTTTGCGATTGGCGAAAGTATATCGTAGATAATTTGTTATTGGAGGTTGCTTTGTGTTGCACTTCTTTTTTTCAATGCCCAATCATTCGTTGCTGCATTATTTGTAATTACAGTACATTACAACGAACGTCCTTTTGTTTCAGCTACTGTACATTAAAATTCTTTTTCGGGGCATGCGCAATATTCATTTCTCCAGATCATGAAATTGACCGGCTAATTAATAAGTAAGTATATAAATAAAAAATGTCAAGACAAAAAGCTGATTTTCTCAATGAATGGGCTTGAATTCGTCATTTCTATTTTTATGTTTCTGTTAATTAGATGAGCAAATTCATCGGATCGCAGTCACCAAAAGTGGCTTAGAACTATCCGGCTTAACACGGACCATTTAATTTGGTATTGAAACTGCAGTTTTGAGTCTGAATCGGATGAATGACCATAGTAAATGGGTAAGGAAAAGAATACTGTACCTACATTGCATGTGCAGTCTCTATCGAATTCCAGGGATTTCTACGTGCTACATGCCAATGTTGATCGGCATATGCGGTCTCTTACGCTTTTGGGATCATTGACGCACCACGCAAACACGAAATAGTAAAACATCAATAGCCATTGCCTTATTTGAATTTTCTTCCCTTTGGGGGATGCAAATTACAATATAAAAATTATCATTAGAAATCATTATCGTTTGAACATCGTATCCACAAAAAAATGCATTTGCATTAAATCTTAGTTAATTTGTAACCACTCCCCTCTTCGGCACATTCCTCTGACGAAACGAAATTCAAATACTGTACGTGCATTCCAAAATAATTCCTTTATTTTACTTTACCATGCAATGTCTTACGTTGCGATCGTCAACAAAAACGGTGTGGTCATTCTCTCAGAGAAATGAATTCCCTGTTCAAGAATGAAGTCAATAAATCTCGGCTTTCTTCCTTTTTTTTTTTTTTTTATGTCCGCCAAAGACACCACACCGTTGCATCTTATCGAGCGGCATCTTAAACGCCACAGGGACATGCCCTCTCGGTTTCGGTGTGGAGATATTATGCCAAAGTATGTGGTGAAATCGTTCGCCGTCCACCTACATGTTTCCTAACTTTAATTTTCGCATCGCCTTTTTCGTAATTAACGAAGGCGTTGCATTTAAAAATAAACATTATGTGCGTAATCATATTATATATAAAAGGAAAGATTCAATTTTAGAAAATTTTTGGGTCAGCAAACAAAGAAACACATGTACACACGTACACATCTGTTTCCCCAAACGACATAAGATTATCGGCATCTCTGCCGTTTCCGGGATGATCCTATTTCAGAAATAACAATCCAGGTGCTATTATTAAATAGTTGAACAAACCACTGTGCTAATTTAATACCATGCGGGTTCGGGGTGAGAGTCAAAAAAAAAAAAATCGAGCTGTTAAATAGGATCATTCAAGGATGTGTGTAAGCTCTCCTGAAAAAAAGCACGTTTCAAATGTGCAAATAAAATTCGTAATATTCTTTGATGGCTTATTCAAAAGTCTTGCTTGATACACGGTGTGCTATATGTGCACAAGTGCGTAAATGGGATGGGTTCCCTTTTTTATGCTTGGAAAATACCGTAAATAATCGATGCTGTGCCAGCTGCGCCGCGTAAAACCAATGCGGCATTAAATCGCGGAAAAAAAAAAAAAAAAAAAAAAAAAAAAAAAAAGGAATATATATAGGAACGTTTAATTCTTTGATAAAATTTGGGTCTATCCAGAGCCGGCACACATATATATATTCTTATTATATATATATATACATATATATATACTGTATATATATATTGCCTTTTTTTTTTAAAAAAAAAAAAAAAAGAAGAAAAGGAATGACTGCGTTGCCTAATATGAAACGTTTCTTTATATTCGTCGTGGTGATTCTGGCGGGCATCAATTCTATCACCAATTGTTATAATATACCTCCGTCGTGTGCAAAAAATTCGACCGATGCGTGCAAGTTAATTCATGAAAAATTCTTACAAACGAATGCTACCAATGCTACTACCTGGGAAGAGATTAGCGCTTGTTTTCGATCATTCCCGTATGACTTGAATGTTGCGAAAGAGGTTGCCTTAATTTACAGTATATGCGCAATAAATATGTGTAATTTGTGTGCCATTGTTAAAGTTTTTTCCCCCTGAATTTTACCATTTTTCCCCGATTAAGACAATTGAGACGTTGAAAGGATTATTCGGTAGCTTTTACCCGTTTCTCGATGAAGCGAAGGAAGAACCGAAACCCGGATTTACGTTCAAGCCCATAAATTTGACGGTCGAACTTGATCGTTTGCTAGAGAAAAAATATGAAACCGAAATTGAATTTTTTGTAAATATCTAACGAACGAACAAATAATCTTTTTATATGCGTGCGTACATCCTAAACTTCCTCTTTTCACGCACGAACAGACTGACGCAGCCTCGGTTATAAACTCTTTGTCGGATGCGCACAGCCAGCTGTTAAGCTATTGTTATGAAATATTTCTATTTGACCAAAAATTATCGTTGTATTCCATTGTACGAGACGGAAAGCAGGTATTTATTACTGAATACAGCATACTCTCGTTGAATATTTTCCACGTGATTAAGTTAGAATAACCTCAACTTTTACAGATAATCGAAGTATTCGACGACTCGGTTGATCCGAGCAACGTCAACTGTGAAGTGGTTAGCATTGATGGCCTTCCCGCCCTAGACGTCATCACCCAATTCGCACTTAAAAATATTGGGTGGGCTAGGGATCTGGGAGTACGATTTAACACGTCAGCAGTTTTCCTTTTTATTTTAACTCTTGACTTATCTAAAGTATTCGATTAACTTTGAATTTTTTATTTTTTATTTTTAGGGCACTCACGTCCCTATCTCTCGAGGGAGGGGTCCTTCAGGCATCCGAGTATTCGGAATTGTTCACCAGAAGAGGACAGCTACCACCGACCCCCTACATCTCTTATACTCTCAATTGTGGCGGAAATCATTTGAAACAGGTTAATCGCAGTTGGACAGTTGAAACTGGACGCGAAGTGTTAGCCAATTTTACGGACTCTGAGTCGTATCGTAAAAAGTTCTGTTTGAAGCATAACAGTGCCGATAATGGCACCAATTCTGGCTTTTTCACAAAATCCGCTGTGCATACTCGTCGGTCTAAGCGTAAAATTGACGTGCCATCATTGAGCGAAGGGGAACTGATAGTTGACGCTATCATTGCTAGGTTTTACATTGTACGCGATGTTGGAGTGGCCGTGATTTCAACGGAAGACGTTTCGACTTTTAACAAAACTCAAATTTATACCGTGTTAATCAATCTAAATGAAGGATTCCGATCGTTTGCAAAGAGAAAAATAGAGAAGGTAAACTAAAGATGAATAAATATAGCTCGTCGTATTTACTGTAAATGATGATACTCACCACCACCTTCTTAAATAGGTTGTCCTTGATTTGAGTAACAACGGGGGTGGTACCATTGCGGTGCTCCAATACATCGTTCTGCTCTTGTTTCCCGACATCACACCCAGTTTTCCATATGACGAACGACTCACGGATCTTTACAGGCTTGCCACTGAAATTACATCTGCCAACTTGTCCTTAACTTCAGGTGCTCCATTTAATTATCATGAGTATGTAACAACTGAGAATAACCAAAATTTCACTTCTATCCAACAATTCTTTGGCAATAACTTATTTACGCGAGGCGGCGTACAGGATAGTTATTCCTCGAAATTCTTTCTTAATCTCGAAAGCACATTAAGAGAGATTCTTGTTGAGGTACAGGGACCAAACGCTCCACCACTAAATTGGACACGTGACAATATCATTATTTTGACAAATGGATTTTGCGGATCTGCATGCGCTAATCTGGCTCAGTTATTGGTAGAAAAGAAACAAATAAAAACGGTAGCTGTTGGAGGTTTACTGTCACAAGAGCAGCTCAGTTATTCCTCATTCCTTGGTGGATTCGTATTCACATCTGATTGGATCTTTGCGACATTAAATCAAGTTGGTCTAAATCATTCCAGCAATAGTTTAGTGCCTAAAGATTTTTTCCTGTGGATGTTTGCAACTTTACCATTAAATGAAGTCTATAGTAGTATACTTAATGACACGGTATTAGAATTTGAGTTCAG